TTCACTAGTTCATTTCATCTAAATTGTATGAATTGTAGTTTTCTTTACCCCAGAAAAGGCTCTTTATATTTAAATACTTTATATTTACATCGAGGGGGTCATCTCTACGGAGGCCGCCATGTTTTTTACATTAGTCCAGACTGGACAAACTAAACACCTTTTGATTTTTTATGACAATTAAAGGCTACCACAGATTCTTTTTCATGTTTGGAAGGAGAGGTTGAGGTGAGGGGTGTTCAGCTGTAACATGCATTTTCAATACTAGATATCACAAAATTCTACACACTGTACCTTTAAGTAGCCGGGAGATAAAAATGGTGAAAAGATCACACACTTTACCCGGCTTCTCTCAGACCACCTACTGTCACACCCCTGTACACCTGGCTTGTGAGCGGGCCAGATTGTTAGAATGTCTGTTTCGTAAAAAGTTACAAACTGTCTCTCTTTCCTAGGGTTTGATTGATCATCCCTTCGTCCATCATTGTTGTACTCACTTGTTCTGGTGCTTGGAGCCCTGGAGGTGTGCGTGGTACTGTTCGATGGAGTTAAGGACGACACTGCAGACGCTGCAGGAGTAACTACTGCGCAGCCCTGGAGAGAGACAGACACACAGGTACAGTAGTTACCGTGACGGCACTCTCATAATAGCATGGTTAATAAAAACTCTTTGAAGCTGTCATCAGCAGCAGCAGCTGTGACACTGAGGCCAACATGAGCAACAATAAGAAACTGAACGGACACTAAATAACAGTCTTATTTTTACACAGCACAGTGCAGAGTAATTTTCCTAATTAGAGTGCATTTGATCAGACGAATTATTAGCAGAAAGCCAGTTATATTTTGAGATCCTTAGATCACTGCCTTTTTCTTTCTTCTAGTGTGTGTGTGAGTGTGAAGGTGGTTTTCAAGAGGGTGAGAAGAATTAGGATGCAGGGGGGTAAGAAAGAATAGTGCAACACTGTAGGGCTGTCTATGCACGCGCATTTGTATTGTATTGGTGAATGTGCGCTGCTTGAAATGGTGCGGCTCAGACACAGATGTGAACTAATTAGAGGGTTTGCAGGTGGTCGAGATGAACACCCAAAAATAGATGGATGAGGATGGAGATACTGAGGGGTGAAGTGCGTTCGAGGGGTGGGGTGGGGGTTGGTAGACGGAATGAGTGAAAGGAAATTTCCGGAGAAAAGTAAGACGTGTATAAAAAAAGATGGAGAGGAGAAAGATGTATGTTGGGGATAATGAGTTGTCACTTTGTAGGACTCATCCAAATGCATGCTGAGGTTTAATGACCATAGAAAGCATGACGTGTGTCCACCCCCTAAAAAACATCTGCTTTCACATGTGATTTTAAAACTGTGCTTTTCTTCCAAAGGCAGAGGAAATGCTCTGTGTCAATGAGGGTATGGCAGGCAGCAACAAGACATAATTGGCTGTGGATTCTGTCACAGATGAAATAAAGTGCTATTTTTGTCACATTTGGCTCAGTGTAGAAGTGTCACTGCAGAACTTTACTCAGATCAGTGACGAACAAACCCGACTGTTAAGGTTTATTTCACCTGCAAGGACCACACCACAACAATATGGTTTTTAAATGTTTCAATGGAAATGATTTAGTCAATGTAAAATGAATGGCCATTTAGTGCAAGTGGATGAGGGGAAGATGCGTCTCTGACTGGTCTGGGAGGGTGCACTGGTGACAGCACCTAGAACAAAACATGCATGTATCCACCGAACTGAATAACAAGGGATGAAGGAAGAGAGGATAAAGGGGTGTGGGTAGGTATGCAGGAAGTCTGATAAATGGATGCGGATGATGGATGGAGAGAACCGGGTAGTGATGAGGGAAGGAGAATGGAGGAATGAGGGTAGGGATGAGGGAGAGAAGATGCATGGATGAGGGTGGGGGAGGAGGATGAAGGGATGAGGGTAGTGTTGAGGTAAGGAAGTTGAATGGATGTGGATTGAGATGAGGGAAGAAGGATGAATGGATTAAGGTAGAAATAGGGGAGGAGAATGAAGGGTTGATCGAAGGAGGATGAATGGATGAAGGTGGGAGGATGAAGTTGGGGGAAGGAGGATGAAAGGATGAGGGGCAGGGATGTAGGAGGGAAGATGAATGGATGAGGGTTGAGAAGAGGGAAGAAGGATGAGGGTAACAGGAGGAATGGATGAAGGTAGGGTGGAGGTAGTGCCCAGAACTTTAGTTAACTAGTTAACTTAATAGCCCGTTTGTGATCTTTTATTAGAAAGTTGTGAAGGTGTGATTGTGGGTGTGTGTTGCGTCTTGATTCAGGTGTCCTCTCTTGTGTGTTGGTGCCCTTTCCTCTGCAGTCATTACCGTCTTTGAGATCTATGAGTCGTCTGCGTGTTCCATCACCTTTTGACCTTCTGCGGCAGTAATTGGTGAAGTATGTTGGGAGATGAAGTTGTAATATTGTTAGGAGGTCATTTACGCCGGGGCCGGAGCTGCATAATGTGCCTTATCTACTCCCTGTTATCAGACAGAGCTGCTCTGTCTGTTTCAGGGGTGATTAAGGACAAGTAGTCATTTACAAGCCACGACTGAACCGGTCGCCTGCAGTAAGCACCGCTTTCACTTAAACGTTGGTATTTTGCATCTATTACGAGATAATCAGTAGGTCTGTGTCTCTCTGTCTGTGTGTGGATGGTAGAAAAAAATACGTCCTCTCGAACTAAAATGTCATTACATCTGTTCTCTCCTAATGAAAAGCTATTAATTGAAGAAGAGGTGATTTGGAAAAGAAAGGAGTGATAAGTCTCTCTCATTCTCTTCCCTTGTCTCTCTTCCGCTGCGAGGATTACACAAAGAAGTCTATTCTTGTGTACGCGATTGGGTTTTATGTGCCATGTGTGTATGTGTGCGCAGTGTGCACACAAAGGCAGCTTCCCTGCTTTTAGCCTGATTGATGTCACCTCCCTGCTGCCTGGCCGAGTAACGCTGATGTACAATATGCTGCAGTTTGTGTCCGTGCCAGAATATGTGAGTCTGTTCCAACCCTTTGAACACACAATACGCAAACACGGCCACATGCACATACATCCGTGTTTTGTTAATAAAGCAGCTCTGGCATCAGACCACTCGGTGCCCTGTATGAGCCGAGCAAAGAAACTGTGTGGGCACTTTTCCTGCATGTGTTAATTGCATGCAGGAAAAGTGTGTGTGCAAGATGAGCGACAGCACGCAGGGCACAGTTGTGACTGTGGGTTTTTTATTTGGTGAGCACGAGCTCACGAGGGAGTTCTAAGCCTTGTTAATTACACAAAAAGATGCCAGGGAGACAGAAACGAGGGGGTGAGAAAAGAGGGGATGAGCTAAGGCAGTGGGTGTGGAGCTGGTCCTGGCTCTTGTATAGTGACTCCTGGCAATGGGTAACACCCCTGGTATGAAGAAGCATCAACGCTTTTCCCAAAAAGTAATCAAAGAGCTACAAAATGATTGTCTATTACAAAAAATAAATTTGTACATCTTCCTGTGGTTTCAGAATCGTATATTAATGATCCATTCGCATTGTGATGTTCACGACTCCTTCCGTTCTCTCCCCCGCTGAGCTCTAACCCCTTCTATTGGGGTTTGTCAGGTAGTGGTCAGCCCTCACCATTGTGAATTGCTGGTTAAATGGTGGCGATGCCTCATAATCGCAGAGGGAGGACATGAGGCTTAAAGCACATTGTTACAACCACAGATGAACATCAACTTACAAATGGGTAATTTCAGGGTTGTTTCCTCTTATTTTCTGCCTCTTTCCTATGGGGCAGACTGTAACCGAGAATGTCAGTGTAAGGTATTCATTTGTAATTTTATTCACCGTGGAGGATAATAGTTCACAGAGCGCACACTACCCACAGAGCCTTTGTGCTGTGGTGCACCATTAGTTTATCATGCGCTCTGCAAGATTCTAAAGGAATGGGATCCAAACAGAAGCCCATTGAGATGCAATCAAAACCAACAGTCTGCAGCAAAAGCTCGACTCTACGTCTCGCAGGAATATATCACAACTAACAAAGAAGAGAGAGGGTGAGCATCAGTCCAAGTGGAGCTTTACCAAGCAACAAACTTAGAGAGACTAATTAGTTTTCTAACGAATCTGACAGGAATCGGAAAGACCATCTGTTTTAGACAAAAAAAATATATTCCACAGAAAATATCTCTGAGCTGCTGCTATAACATAAATTACCAGATTTTCAGGGCACAGGGGAGAACTATGTTGCTTATCCTCCAATAATGAATAATTCTTGATGGTAGTTGAACATGCTTGATACCAGCAGTGCCAATATGAGTTCTGGGACTGAAAATATACCTTAGTTTGAGAAATATAAACATTTGTTAACCATTTATATTTCATCAGCATCTACACAATAAAACCTTTTTTGCCACTTTACTGTAAGTAGACTTGGGGAACATGTTTATTTATGTTTATTTACACCATGAGTGAAGACAATGCTATTTATGTTATGTTTCCCATGATGTGATGAATGCAAGTCTAATAGTCACTGTATTTCAGCTCTGTGTTTGGTCTCCACCAACTCTCCAGGGAGGATATCGTTCACTGGTGAAAGAAACCTTTATTTACAGGTCGTTAAACCAAACCAGTGAGCCATGAGAGCTCCATGAGAGGAACTGACTGAAATCAAAGAATATCTAATTAATAATGGTGACACTGATCTTATAGACACATTTCAGTTGGCAGTCAAAACGTGTTGAGTCTCAAAACCGGACCTAGTTCATTAGTGGCTACTATGTTCATGGATCTACACTGCCTACATTATGTTGGGGTGTGTGTGGGTGTGGGTGTGGGCTTGCGTGTGCAACTGTGCCACAGTGAGTACTGTCTCATGGGAGAGGAGGTCAGCTCTGTCTCCCAACTCAGGCACCGCAATCAATTACACACAATTGTCTCTGCTTTGGTACTTCACCCTCTCTTGGGTCCACACACACACACACACACACACACACTACAATTGTAGACACTTATCTCACTGCCTCTGAGTCTCTGCTGAGTCTCCAGAGAGAAGAGACAATGCACCGGCTCTGTCTTAAGGGGTTTCTACCCCTGTTGTGATTTATGTAAAGACACAACAGAGTCAGTCGGGCTACAACCATTGCAGTAGCCACCCCCCACTCTACCTCGCCCTTGTCTGTAATCCATCTCCAAGGGTTTCGTCTGGCTCCTAGCCATCGAAAATAACGACGTTCTCCCCTGTGCCCTGTCTGCGTAATTACACCAGAAAAATAAAAGAGTAAGAAAACGTTGACGATAAAAATGTCAGGGGGATTTTGTGATACATTTTGGTGAGAGAGTTAGAGGGAGGGGCAGAGGATAGAAAGACAAAGACAAATAAAGTACAGGTAAAGGTCAGTGTCATCAATAGAACCAGACACAACCGGACAACACAGCGAAGCAGACCGTGTAGCCATAGTTTAGAGAGAGGGGGAATATTGGTTTGTTAATAATTCACCTGTGTCTCATGGGGAGCTAATGAGGATGACAGATGAGACATGACAAGAGATCGTAGCCCTTTATGGTGCACGACACACACGCGCACACAGAGAAAAGAGCAGCAGTGAGAAATGTGTGATGGAAAATAGAAACTGAATGCAAAGAGAAAACAGATTAAGGAAAAGACTGTTCTCCTCCTTCCCTCTCTCTTTTCTCAGCTGCCACCTCGCCCTCAACTCCCCCGTACACCCAGCACACCTGTGACTTCACACCTGACGTGGCGATAAAAGCCAATCAGATGCGAGAATTTTGCACCTACGGAAACGTCTCTAGTCGCACAACAAACTAGTACTGACAATGGAGCTGTACTGTGATGAACAAAGTGTTTCCAACCAAAGGCGCTGGAATGAACACTTGATTGATGGCACATATGATAGAACGTGTCAGCAGCGAGCTCACTTAGGAATCGTAGACCAGTTGGTCGCCCTTGAAGGAAGATGGGTGAGTTCTGCAGTAGAGCATCATCACTCCTCGCTGAGTGGAAAGATCTTGGATTGAACGAGAAGAAAAATCCAACTTCTAAATATATTACTTCCATATATTCACATTTCAGAGCTGCTGAGATTTGCAGTCAAATTCACCCCCCCCCACGTCCCCAAAAAAACCCCGCTGAGGTTGTGGGATCTGGGTCACAGTGTTTGCATGGAGGACGATATTCAACATGACACCCCTTTAAGCCTCTGAGCCAGTGGAGGCGGCAACATGACTCATGCTTTTAATATGATTGGCTTCTTGAGATAATGGTTTGTGTCATGGCACCTTGAGCACACAGAGAACGGCACGGCTTCGGCTCACGGAGGATTTGCATGTGTGTGCTGCACCCGTCTGTGTTTGTGTGTGGAACAACTACTATGTCAAAAACGTGCGTGTGTGCAGTCGAGGTGTTGTGTGGCACTTGTGCACATGTGAGTTTGGCAGCACTGTTATATGATATTAGACAAAATCTCTCGTAGGAACAAGAAAGGGAAACAGACTTTCTGTACCAAATACTATTAATAGTTTCATTAGAACATCCTACTGCCAGAAATGAACTTGTGAACAGTGTCTTCCTACTCTTAGTAAATTGACTGTATTCATTCAGATTTTTTTCCAGTTTTATCTTGTGCTTTACAATATAAGTTGCATTCACCCATTCATGCACACATTCACACAGCCTGCTATACACAGCACTTTTTATAACACAGCATGTTCTGTGAGCTCAGTCATCAGGGGAAATCTGTGTCTTAACTTTGGAATGCTGATTGGAGGTGGTAAGGATCAAACCACCGACCTGGTTAGTGGATAACCCACTCTACCTCCTGTGCCACAACAGCTGTTTTGGACTCGTCTTTAATCCCTCACCAGACATATCGGTGTGCAATGTAATGCCAATTAGGGGTGTACTTTCTCTTAATTATGGTTACATGCCAGCAGAGGTTACGTAACTTTGACACTTTTACACACAGTAATGCTCTCACTAACAAGTGTGAGACCTATACTGTAATATGAGGAGACTGCTGAGACCTTAGTTGACTCCGGGGTCACAGTCCTCACCGTGAACCCAAAGACTCACAAGGAAAGGTTGGACTGACAAACAGGTGAGGAGGAAGATGAGTCAAACTTTCACTTGGACTGAGAAACAGTTAATTAGGGAGAGACGCATTTTAAAGGGGGTTGATGGATGAGCTAACTCTTTCATTTTATTGGCTTGTAACTAAGTGTGACTCTTGCGATTATTCACCCAGTCAACATCTTTGCCTCATGTAAATGCTTGATGGTGGTCTTGTCCCATATGTCTGTGCATTAAAAGCAACTGAACCTCATTCAGTGCGGCAACGCATTATGTCATCATGTTTAAAGTGAATAAGCAGTGTTTCTGTTGAAACGCTGCGTTTACTCTCCTTCGTTGGTTTTAAGAATGATTTTTAAAAAAGCCGCTCAGAGTGGATGTTCTGGAATCTGGTGGAAGGAGAACTCAGGCAGCAGCTGATGTCTTACGCAGAAGAGTTTAATGTTGACTTGATGCATCAAGGAGACCAGAAGGTGCAACAATATACCAACGCCAACAGAGTAACATGAGCAATTGTCACCGCCAAGTCTGAAGATGTCTCACACAACATCCCAATATATTGGGCTAGAATTGCCATCACTCTCTGTTACATGCAGGTGTTCTCATCCTATGGGATAATTAAACCTAAAGTATGCATACACAAATCACATTGTGTCCTTACTTCTTTCCACTGGTGAAATAAGCAAAAGAGTTGGAGTTGCTGCCTCTCTCTAGGTCATCTGAATTAGATATGATAGTCTATGAGCATAGATGCTACAATGTACTGCTGGTTGGCCCTTTATCTATAACCTGACCTTGGGTATTGCTTTGAATAGAAAGGAGTACGTGTGGAATTAGACAGACTCTAGTCTCCTAATGGTGTACAAATGTAATGTGTAAGGATGGCCAAAAATTCCTTGACAGTGGATTCAGCAGAGAGCCTGTCTTAGTCTCTGCCGTCTCTAGTGTGGGTCAAGCTCCAAACGCCCCAGCTCCTCCAATTACAAAAACGCAACTTGATAGAGTCTTTATTTTGGCCCCACATTAGCTGGAACATTGCCTTCGTCTTTCAAACTACACATCAAGTTTCTAATGTAGGCTTTCTAATAATGGCTTCTAAGCCCAAAACAAGAATTCTGGGTCATGTCACTTGAGTAATTTTCTCCAACTTGGCAAAGCTCCTTCACAGCCACAACTGATATTATACAATTAAATTCAAAGGCTTATTTCAAAGACAGATGTGGGACACTACTTGAGTAAATATTTGAAGCTAATCTGATGGTACTAATTGTATCTGTAAATAAGTGGGGTGGCTTACCTCAGTATAAACCTGTGAAATGTACACCACATTGAAAGGCATATGAAAACTTCAGTCCACCCTCAGTGCCTCAGATCTTGTGTGATCCCCCCTTATCGTCTTTCCTCGTATAAAGTTGTAACAACCCTGCTGCCTTTCACTTGGCACTTGTGTCGGGCTCGGGGGCCAAGAGGCTGACCTGTGCTCTCCGTGGCATCCAGGCTGCCCGCTAGCTGCTCCAGCAGACGTGCCCTGGCTGCGTTCCTGCGGTGCTTCTTGCCCTCGTAGTGCTGCTGGGCCATCAGCGGGTTGTTGAACCAGGCTCCGCACAGGCAGCAGTACTTCCCCGCCTCTCTCCCACCGTTTCCACCAACCACCGCTGCAGGCCAGGGCAGGGCTGGGGAAGGAGGTGGGCACACGGCGGGGTCTGGGGGCAGTGGTGTGGAAGGGGAGGAATCTGGAGGGAAGTAAGAAGAGACATTAAAATGTCTTACAGTCATTTGCCCAGATGTCAATGTTCTCACAGACACAAGGAATTTTAAATACATGATTTCACACATTTCACAGCTTTAGGTTTTAGATCGTACTAATCAAGACCAAGAGCAAAGAACCAACGATTGTTGCAGGTCACATCAGTGGAGCATAAATCCTCTCCTTTCCTCTTCCTCTCCTCAGGTAAAAAGCTTGCTAACCATCCTTCTCTTTCACCTATTTTTGCCCCTCATTTCCATTTCTCCTCATTCCATTCCACCCCCGACTGTCTGCTCCACCTCTCATCTCCTTCCCTATTTTGTTGTTCCTCCTCTCCTCACCAGGTGACCTGCTACTTGTGACATGACGCCGGTTACCATGGCGATTGCCCATTAATAGCCAACAGCCACTGACATGTCCACAGGACATGGTCTGTGGCTCATGCCGGCACGATGGCGTGCTTGTTGTACGTCTGTTTGTGCGGGCGTGTGGGTGTTTGGGTGGCAGATTGAATCTATAATACACCCTAGAGAAATGTGTGAAGGCCTGCGTGTGGATGAATGAAGCTCCAGCATAGGCAGAGTGTGTGTGTGTGTGTGTGTGTGTGTGTGTGTGTGTGTGTGTGTGTGTGTGTGTGTGTGTGTGT